AGAAGACATGACCAAAATCACAGTTTTGCTTCCAATCCAAGAATTCTTGTAGTTTTGATGTGAAATCCTTGCCCCAAAATCTTCATCTTGATGTATTCTAGGGTTCTCTTTGTGTTGTAATGTCTCCTCTCTTTTTGGACGACCCTAGGGTTTTAAAATAACCCCAAGATTCGTTTTCATAAAAGTTGTAGTCGAATTAGGAAACCAGAATTAGCGCCCAGTACAAAATGGTGAAATTTGGTTGATTTTACCTTTCGTTGTTCAGATGCTAGGTGACATTACGTGTTGCCATAAAGCATTGAATTCACATCTCTCTTTGTTTACGGACCTACAAATATGGTCCGCTCAGTATCATGTTATTTTCCTTTTATTACTGTAATTATGGTTATCGTGTAGGGTAATAATTTCCTTTCCATATTAGAAGTTATCGTGTGGGGTGACATTAGGTTTATGATTACCTTGAAGGGGTAACCATTGCCTGTTGATAAACCTAGAATTACATGTTAATTATTTGCGCCCTTAGATCAAGATATTCACTAAAATTTGCTACTGAAATAAAAATTTAAGTAGAGATTTGTTACTTGTTAATCAAACAACATTCAAGATTACAACAGAGACACGAAGTATCAACCAAAATAGCCTTCGGAGTCCTTAGACCCCTCACCACCTCTCCCTAACTGTAATTATTATACCATGTAAATGAAACCAAAAATAGGTTACTATTTACCAAGAACAACATATAGCATATGCCTATCACTCTCTCTAACAACTAATTGAAAGATCTCACAAAAGAAAAATGAGTGGAAATTATCAAAGGTAAGAAAAGATATCACGGAAAATTGTTGCTCTCTCATCAGAGAATATATATATACAGCTCCACCAGAAAACTCTCAGATTAATAGCTGTAAAGACGCCACATGTCTCCATACGAGAAAGCAATCTCTTAACTACAAAGTTGCATTGAAAGTTATAGTTACCTCGGATAAAATTTACCACAAAGTGGCTTAAGATTAAGGATGGAGAACCAGATTCCATTCTTTTGTGGAGATCAAGAAACAATGAGTTTTTGTTATCTCATATTTCTATATTTGTTTTTTGGTTTAAATTTCAGTTGGGTACTAGTTATTTGCATTGTAACTTTTGTGTTCTTAGTGGATTTTGTTAGATCCAAATTATATAATTAGCAATTTGCAAATTTGTAATTGGCAACTTCCCTAGTCAAAATCATATTTTAGTTGAGTTGTATTAGGAGTTAATCGAGTTGTAATCAAAGCCAAAATAAGAGTTATTGAATCTTAGTTGTAGTAAAAATAGTTTATGGTTGATAGAGTACAAAAAGAAGTCAAAAATACAAGAAGTAATTCAAGATTAGGATTTCAAGAAGTAGGGCAAAAATGGACATAGTACCGCTCGCCGGCGCCCATTGGCGCTTGAGCACTGAAGAGAAAATTGAAGTAGAACGTTGGTGCTTGCGGTGCCAACCTACCACTCGAACAGCGCAATATTATAGATTTCACATACCCAAGCTCTGATACCATTTTTTTGCGAAAACTCCTCGACAAATATTTGATCCCTGGCTCAGATATAAACCAAAAGAACACCACAAGTATCAAGACTCGACCCACAACTTCTACACTCTGGTTGCCACAAGTTTTTCTCACCAACAAAGAATGATTGTCGCGGTGATTTGCAATATTGCAAAGGGCGGAAGAATTAAACGAAAGGAACAATTGTTGAATTCCAAATAATACCATAGTCGCTATCCCCTCTCAAGAACTCTCCTCTATTATATTCCTTCACACACACACACACACACACACACACACTCACTCACCAAATGATTGAGAATAGATATATATAGGCTAAGTTAAATTCCAAGGAAACATGGGCCAAGGCAGTACTTGGGCCAACAATCCAAAGGACTAAATGGATTACAATCCAAAAGCCACCTACTAACCAATGGCCCAAAATATTACCACCAATCCAAAACCACAACTTGGGCTATCAACGAGTGTTGGATCACGAGAAACATTAACTTAATTAAGTTGTTTAAAGTGGCCCAAGTTTTTTTGGGTCAAGCCATCACTTTGGTATCGATAAAATTCTCGACATCAAATTTTCATCATTACCTGAATTTATTAGGTATCAAAAAACCCAACAAATTGCCTACAATCACAATTTAGTCATATTTTACATTTTCTTTAAAATTAGGTGATCCATATTGCGAATAAAGACCTTGCAAATTCTTTCGTTGGAAATCTCAATTTTTGCATTTTCATTTATACTTTAAGACTTTGGTTTAAATTTTGAACATCGGAATAATTTAATTTTTTTACTAATGATCTAAAAATTTTACCATATTTTTTAACTTAGTGAAGAAATTTGGAATGATTTTTTTTCAAGAGGGAATGAATCAAATGGCTTGATCCAACCTATTTTTAGAGGGAATAAATTACTAATGACAAGAATTTGTAAGCAAACATATATAGAACTAAACAAATGGCTATAATTGAATCCAAGAACATTCAAGTTTTGGAGCCTTCTGTCACTTGACGTAATATTATTTTATACGCTTGTAATAGTTCCAACTTCCAAATCGTAAAAATGACATGATGGTGACTCTGAGATAATCTCTAGCAAATTCAAATCTTTTGCCTGAGGAATTCAATATTTTGTGCGACAAGAAGTCAAAGACACTATTCGATATCCACACAAGTTTGTTTTAGCAAATGCCAATCCCGAGTCAACACAAATTATGTGCAATGTACTTTGGTTAAATAATCAAAAAAGGTTAGGAGGGAATGACATCTTGCAATTACCTATTGACAACTAGTCTGTAAGTTTAAGAGGCGATATGTCGATATTGTAAGCGGTATGTTATCCCACCTTATTCAGAAAATATTTAAATATAAATTAAGTGTTTGTTCATCGTTGAAGTCATTTTCGGGTTTTGATTTTATTTTTCAAAGAATAATGAACTTGTGCGTTATACATTATTGTCATAATTATAAACTGGCTTAAATACTGGTTGAGTAAAGTCTTAAAACTTTAACTATTTTCATTCAGGTTCTTGAGATGGGTTTTGAATTTTCTGTAATTCAACAATGCAATAAATTAGTTGTGCTTCTTTTAATGTTGGATGCTGATTCATTTTCACTTGCTAAACTTGGAAGCAACTAGGAAAGGGTGTCTAGTCATTTTCTATACTTCCCTGACTTGTGCATATTTCATGATTAAAAAAGATATGTTTATTATGTTGAATTGAACATATTTAAGTATAGGGAAGAACATTTGAAAGATTAAAATAATTGTTTTATTCAATCAATATAGTCGAGCATATCAAACATTGTCGTCATTCTTTCTACCCAAGTGCTCCACTTTTAATTACATGGTAGAATTGAGACTTGATTGTCCATTTGCCAAGAAGAGTTTTGTATGTACTCTTGCACTTGTTTGAAAAATTAAACAATGTGTCTTAGTTAGTTATGTAACAATTTTTTAAATATACACTGAGTTCTTTGTTCTACGTCATTTTTAGTATAAATTTTAACATCAATGTATATCACTTTTGATCTAGTGACATGATTTTTTTCTTTTTCAAACTCCAATTAGATTAGAAAAGCTTTGATACTCTTGAAATTCAACTAGCATATTAAATCACAATAAATGATAATTGAAAATTGTTTAAGCCCTATTTGTGGGCCAAAATGTTTTTAGAATACTATTTTATTGAAGAATGTGCAGAAAAAAATGAGAAAAAAATTTGAATTTACGTGTAATATTATTTTATAGGAGAATGTGTGATTGAAAATAATTTTTTAAAAAATGAGTTTTTGAAAAAATGAAGGTGAACCCTAAACTTAAGCCTAGCCTATGTTTAACATCGTTACTTGGTGGTGCTAACTATTTTCTTTCATAAATTTATCATACAAAGTCAATGACAATCTGAAAATTAAAGGTGTACTACAAAAGTAATTTATAATAATATAAATTCATTATTTTTATATTATTTAATCTTAAATTACTAAATAGATGTATATTTCGATCTAGCTAGGGGTGGGCGTGGGTTGGG